GTGGGCGGAAGTAACTCACAGAATTAATAGCTATGGTCCTCGGCCGGTAAATAGTGATGAACTGCGACAGGCAAATATCACTGCTTGGAATGATATCCCCACCCAAACTCTAAAAAACGTGTCACGGGGTATGCCATGTAGGATGAGGGCGCTGCAAGCGGCTGCTGGAGGTCATACCCGCAATTACTGACTTTTCATGATTTACTGTAGTGAGTTCTTTGACTGTGTAACATATCACTGTCCGGAGGCTATCATTTTCTTTAATATCTTATCTTAAAGTTTATACTGACATCAAGCTGTTGATATGGTTTTCTGGGGGTGTTCCTTTCTTTTGAATGGCATCTTATGTCAGATTTGATATTATTGACCAAAATATATCACAACAGAAGACTGTATGTTATTATCACTCAGTGACATACTTTTTTAATGACTCAAGCAAAATAAAAATTTAATCAGCACTCAAAAATAACAATGATAAAAATATTCCATATTAAGTAGTAACCCTGTATATTTAAGTTTGCACGAACATTCAAACCTCTCAAGGTCATATGTAAGGCATTAAATTAATTTATAGTATATAATGTTTTTGAGACTTAATGAATGTCCATTTAAATGATATTGAAATTCCTGAAATATGAAAATGCTGCTGGCCATTTATTTCATTTGGTAAAAAATGATGTATGGCTAAAATTTGACTGATTGAATAATTTTAATGTAAATACTGGGCTTGATAATTTTAGAAGAGCAATTTTATCTATTCGAAGATTTTCAGTCACTGTATTAGAAGCAACTGCCATATTTGATTGGTGGCCATTTTAGAATTTTCAAACCTGTCATTACATCCGAAAAAACTCACTAAACAATTTTCTTCAACTATGCCCAATTCTATGATAAAAGCCCCCTTTACAGATTTTATCCAGACAGGAGATGGAAAGAAGGTTCAAATAAACAATCTAGCATTAAATTTTCAAAGGTATTAAATGCTTTGATACTCTATGAAATGTTCGAAATCAAAACAACACAAGTTTTGAAATTGATTTATAAGAAAGACTTTATTGTAAAACAAATGTCACTCTCACAGCTTGGTGATTATAATATACAAGATATCCGACATTGACTTAAAATTATCAAATCATGCAATCTTTACCAAAAGGAAAGAACCCAAGAAAATGACTTCATTAAAAAAGTCAGTGGCATAGTTACAAACCATTGCCAATGTAGCGAAGTATCACTAAAAAAAATACTTTACTAGCCGACTCAAATAGCTTTTTACAATATGTTATAAAAAGTAGACTGCACTTTTGATATATACTAACCCCAATACTCCAACTAACCTTAACTTGTACCATTCATATGGGACCTCTGACTTCCATTTTTAGGACTAACATTCATGTGACAGGAATGCGAAGTCCGGGCTCCCATATGATTAGAACAGGTTATAGGGTTAGTTGGAGTGCTGGGGTTAGTATATTGGATAAATGTCACCTGTACAAAGTAATGGGAAGCGGACAACGGTACTTAGCGGACTTGCGTTCCTGTTACACCGCCACTGTAGATATCATCGAAGACGCCACGGAGGCCGTGAATGCGTGCGATGTCCAAGATTTCTTGAGGCCTGCCTCCCATTGATGCCACACAAAAAGGGATTAATACGGGAAGTATACAGGCAGAGTATGAGCAATGCAGCAAATAGCATGACTATTGTAATTGAGTATTTTAAATACATCTCAGTTAGAGAGGCACGATTTATCAGATGCGTGTTGTTATGACCCCATACCGTCTTAAATTTCAGACGACCTATATAACCTATGCTTTACTTGCACTTCTCATACATGTACCATGAATAGGTCTTCGTTGGCCTAAATAAAGCTCTTTTAGATAATCGCGCTTTGTCCAGCTCCATTCAAACAGATCTATATAGGACATAGCGTGGGCTGTGGTCAGTGCAATTTAGGCATATCTTAGACGTTTCCACTCTATATAGGGGCCTTCCTGCGTGTGCGACTCTGTTAAATTTAGGATCCATACGGTTCACGAAGTCAACTATGCCTCAAGGCCGAAGGGCTATGTATATTAAGGAAATTATCAAGTCCAGAGAATAACCAACTGGCTTATACGATAGCGGAGTGTCGCGTCGCTATCAAGCAAACCAGTCACAGGTCGTGATCATTGAGGTACAGCTTTAACGGCTGGGTGGCTTGCGTGACTCTGAGAAACGCACCTGGGTTCCATCCCATCTACGTTAACAACGTGAGCAAAATGAGGTTCACAACGACAGCCTTGTGGTGTGTGGCCGTGCTTGTTGTATCTACACAGGTGGAGGACATTTCAAGTTCCAAGATATTACTGATCCCATATATTCATCAGCAAACCTCTCGCCTCATGAACATGGTGAAGATTGGTCAAATGCTGTCGGAGCACAACCACGACGTTGCCATGTTGCTTCCTTCCAACTGCGTCCCCAAGAACGTCCCAGAAAAAGTGCGTACAATTACTTTCAAACTAGATACCTTGCCTTTTGATATTTCGGAGGAGACGTTTCTGCACGAAATGCGGAAAGATCCATTCGTGTTTATGTCAGGTTGGATAGAATACAGCAGAGACTTACTTGACTCACTTTTTAATGATAGTGGTGTGATGCTGAAAATGGTCAACGAAGAGTTCGATCTGGTTTTCATGGATGTAATTTCACCACAGGGGCTCATAGTGAGGGATTATTTGGACATTCCTGGGGTAGGGTACTCGAATTTAGGATTTGGCAATGATAGGTATTTTTCTTCTCCCCTCAACCCTTCGTACGTACCATCACCCACTGGAAAGTTCTCGGATAGGATGGATTTTTGGGAGAGATTAACGAATGCATTGTCTATTTTAGGTGCACGTTATGTCACCGGTAAAATGAGGGTACCTTTCAGTGAGGCCAAACTCAAATACAATCTTAATACGTCGTTGTCTTTATGGGAAGCCCAAACAAGATTATCACTTGTCATAGTGAATGTTGATTTTGTATTTGACTACCCCCGTCCAGTCATGCCTTGGGTCAAGCCAGTTTCCGGACTGCTCTTCCATCCTGCCAAGCCTCTTCCAGAAGACTTGGAAAGGTTCGTGCAGTCATCGGGAGAGCACGGTATCATTATCATGAGCTTCGGGACAATGATAGCAGGGTTTAGCTCTGAAACGATGGCAATGATAGCACGAGTTTTCGCGCGTCTTCCTCAAAAAGTGATATTGAGAAATGCAAAATCCAATGTCCAAGGACTCGGGAATAATACAAAGGTGCTACCATGGATACCGCAAAATGATCTTTTGGGGCATGAAAAAGCTCGACTTTTCATCACCCATTGTGGCGTCAGCAGTTCCCACGAGGCGTTATTTCACGGCGTTCCTGTGATTGCAGTGCCCCTGTTTTTTGACCAGTTTAGTCACGCAAAAAAGTTGGTGCAACGCATTGGGATGGGCGAAGAACTGGACTTTTATAATCTCACCGAACAAGCGTTTGGCGCCACGATTAAATCAGTCTTAACTAAGCCCTCATATTATGAAAATGCGAAACGTGCTTCGGCTCTTGTTCGTGATCAACCGATGAACGGCAAAGATACGATGAGGTTTTGGATCGAGTATGTAATCAGGAACAAAGGGGCAATGCATTTTCATTCACAAGCTATGGAGAGTTTAAACTGGTTTCAGTATTTTTTGCTCGATATAATTAGTTTTATCTTCATAACAACGTTTTGTGTTCTAATTGTAATTTGGATTCTTTTTAAATTTGTTTTGTGCTCCCTGGTTCCAAAAATGTATTGGAGACATCCTGATGTAAAGATGAAGGGGGAATAATAGACAACAATTTAGGGTATTTTGGGTAAAAAGGGTACATGCTAAAACTTGTAATAATATAACGTATGAATGTAGTGGCAATTACATGACGTAAGTATATTTAAGTCTGCACGAACATTCAAACCTCTCAAGGTCATATGCAATGCATTAATTTTTTTATAGTATATAATGTTTTTGAGTCTCAATGAATGTCCATTTGAATGATATTTAAATTCCTGAAATATGAAAATGCCGCTCACCATTTATTCCATTTGGTAAAATAATGTATGGCTAAAATTTGACTGATTGAATAATTTTAATGTAAATACTGGGCTTGATAATTTTAGAACAGCAATTTTATCTATTCGAGGATTTTAAGTCATTGTTTTAGAAGCGACTGCCATATTTGATTAGTGGCCATTTTAGAATTTTCAAACCTGTCTTTACATCCGAAAAACTCACGTTTTTCAACTATGCCCAATTCTATAATAAAAGCCCCGTGTATAGATTTTTTCCAGACAGGAGATGGAAAGAAGGCTGAAATAAACAATCTAGCGTTAAATTGTCAAAGGTATTAAATGCTGTGATACTCTATCAAATGTTCGAAATCAAAGCAACATAAGTTTTAAATTGATTTATAAGAAAGGCTTTATTTTAAAACAAATGTTAGTCTCACAGCTTGGTATTTATTTTTTACCAGATATCCGATATTGACCTAAAATTATCAAATCATGCAATCTTTACCAAAAGTAAAGAACCAAAGAAAATGACTTCATTAAGAAAGTCAGTGGCATAGTAACAAACCATTGCCATGGTAGCGAAGTATCACTAAAGAAAGTAAATGAAAAAACAAAACACTACATATTTTATTAGCCGAGTCACATACATGTAGCTTTTTAGAATATGTTACAAAAAGTAGACTGCGCTTTTGATGTATACTTACCCCAGTACTCCAACTAACCATTCCTGCCACAATCCGCTGTAATAGGAATGCAAGTCCTAGGAATGGAAGTCCAGGCTCCCATATGATTAATACAGGTTATAGGGTAAGTTGGAGTATTGATGTTAGTATATGTGACGAATGTCACCTGTACAAAGCAATCGGAAGCGGACTACGGTTCATAACGGATTCGCATTCCTGTTACACCGCCACTGTCGATATAATACATGCAGCAGGGGCCACGGAGACCTTGAATGCGTGCGATGTCCAAGATTTCATGAGGCCAACGCCTGTCTCCCATTGACGCAGCACGAAAGGGATCAATACAGGAAGAATATGGACCTTGGGCATTTTATGTCCAAGGGTCGCATTACAAATGTAACTGAGCATACGTGCACTGTACGGGTATCCCATTTCAAATATTATATCGACTTTAGAGAGACACATTCTATTAGACACGTGTTGTTATGAGCCCATACCGTCTTAAATGTCAGGCGACCTATAACCTATGCTTTATTTGCACTTCTCATACATGTAACATGAATAGGTCTACAGTATATTGGAATCCACAACAAGATTATCACTTGTCATAGTGAATGTTGACTACCCCCGTCCAATCATGCCTTGGGTCAAACCAGTTTCCGGACTGCTCTTCCATCCTGCCAAGCCTCTTCCAGAAGATTTGGAACGGTTCGTGCAGTCATCGGGAGATCACGGTATCATCATCATGAGCTTCGGGACAATGATAGCAGGGCTTAGCTCTGAAACTATGGCAATGATAGCTCGAGTTTTCGCACGTCTTCCTCAGAAGGTGATATTGAGAAACGCAAAATTCAATGTCCAAGGACTCGGGAATAATACAAAGATGCTACCATGGATACCACAAAATGATCTTTTGGGGCATGACAAAACTCGCCTTTTTATCACCCACTGTGGCGTCAGCAGTTCCCATGAGGCGTTATTCCACGGCGTTCCTGTGATTGCAGTGCCCCTGTTTTTCGACCAGTTTAGTCACGCAAAGAAGTTGGTGAAACGCATTGGGATGGGTGAAGAACTGGACTTTTATAATCTCACCGAACAAGCGTTTGACGCCACGATTAAATCGGTCTTGACTAACCCCTCATATTATGAAAATGCAAAACGTGCTTCGGCTCTTGTTCGTGATCAACCGATGAACGGCAAAGATACGATGAGGTTTTGGATCGAGTATGTAATCAGGAACAAAGAGGCAATGCATTTTCATTCACAAGCTATGGAGAGATTAAACTGGTTCCAGTATTTATTGCTCGATATAATGGGTTTCATCATCATAACAACGTTTTGTGGTCTAATTGTAATTTGGATTCTTTATAAATTTGTTTTGTGCTCCCTGGTTCCAAAAATGTATTGGAGACAACCTGATGTAAAGATGAAGGGGGAATAATAGACCATGTTTTCGGGTTTTTAGGGTAAAAGGGTGCATGAGAAAATTAGTAAATATAAAGAATGAATTTAGGGGAAATTACATAACTTCAGTATATATATTAAGGTCCTCAAGAACATTCAAACCTCTCAAGGTCATATGTAAGGCATTAAATTTATTTATAGTATATAATGTTTTTGAGACTCAATGAATGTCCATTTAAATGATATTGAAATTCCTGAAATATGAAAATGCCGCTGGCCATTTATTTCATTTGGTAAGAAATGATGTATGGCTAAATTTTGACTGATTGAATAATTTTAATGTAAATACTGGGCTTGATAATTTGAGAAGAGCAATTTTATCTATTCGAAGATTTTCAGTCACTGTATTAGAAGCAACTGCCATATTTGATTGGTAGCCATATTAGAATTTTCAGACCTGTCCTTACATCCGAAAAAACTCACTAAACAATGTTCCTCAACTATGCCCAATTCTATGATAAAATCCCCTTTTACAGATTTTATCCAGACAGGAGATGGAAAGAAGGTTCAAATAAACAATCTAGCATTAAATTTTCAAAGGTATTGAATGCTTTGATACTCTATGAAATGTTCGAAATCAAAACAACACAAGTTTTGAAATTGATTTATAAGAAAGACTTTATTGTAAAACAAATGTCACTCTCACAGCTTGGTGATTGTTATATACAAGATATCCGACATTGACTTAAAATTATCAAATCATGCAATCTTTACCAAAAGGAAAGAACCCAAGAAAATGACTTCATTAAAAAAGTCAGTGGCATAGTTACAAACCATTGCCAATGTAGCGAAGTAACACTAATAATAATAATAATAATAATAATAATAATAATAATAAACAAATAAATAAAAACATACTTTACTAACAGACTCAAATAGCTTTTTACAATATGTTACAAAAAGTAGACTGCACTTTTGATATATACTAACCCCAATACTCCAACTAACCTTAACCATTCATATGGGACCCCTGACTTCCATTTTTAGGACTAACATTCCTGTGCCAGGAATGCTAAGTCCGGGCTCCCATATGATTAGAACAGGTTATAGGGTTAGTTGGAGTGCTGGGGTTAGTATATTGGATAAATGTCACCTGTACAAAGTAATGGGAAGCGGACAACGGTACTTAGCGGACTTGCGTTCCTGTTACACCGCCACTGTAGATATAATCGAAGACGCCACGGAGGCCGTGAATGCGTGCGATGTCCAAGATTTCTTGAGGCCTGCCTCCCATTGATGCCACACAAAAAGGGATTAATACGGGAAGTATACAGGCAGAGTATGAGCAATGCAGCAAATAGCATGACTATTGTAATTGAGTATTTTAAATACATCTCAGTTAGAGAGGCACGTTTTATCAGACGCGTGTTGTTATGACCCCATACCGTCTTAAATTTCAGACGACCTATATAACCTATGCTTTACTTGCACTTCTCATACATGTACCATGAATAGGTCTACGTTGGCCTAAATAAAGCTCTTAGATAATCGCGCTTTGTCCAGCTCCATTCAAACAGATCTATATAGGACATAGTGCGGGCTGTGGTCAGTGCAATTTAGGCATAACTTAGACGTTTCCACCCTACATAGAGGTCTTCCTGCGTGTGTGACTCTGTTAAATTAAGGTTCCATAGGGTTCACGAAGTCAACTATGCCTGCAAGGCCGAAGGGCTATGTCTGTTAAGGAAATTATCAAGTTCAGAGAACAACCAACTGGCTTATACGATAGCGGAGTGTCGCGTCGCTATCAAGCAAACCGGTTACACGCCGAGATCACTGAGGTACAGCATTAACGGCTAGGTGGCTTGCGTGACTCTAAGAAACGCACCTAGGTTTCATCCCATCTACGTTAACAACGTGAGCAAGATGAGGATCGCAACGACAGCCTTGTGGTGTGTGGCCGTGCTTGTTGTATCTACACAGGTGGAGGACATTTCAAGTTCCAAGATATTACTGATCCCATATATTCATCAGCAAACCTCTCGCCTCATGAACATGGTGAAGATTGGTCAAATGCTGTCGGAGCACAACCACGACGTTGCCATGTTGCTTCCCTCCAACTGCGTCCCCAAGAACGTCCCAGAAAAAGTACGTACAATTACTTTCAAACTAGATACCTTTCCTTTTGAGATTTCGGAGGAGACGTTTCTGCACGAGATGCGGAAAGATCCATTCGTGTTCATGTCTGGTTGGATAGAATACAGCAGAGACTTACTTGACTCGCTTTTTAATGATAGTGGTGTGATGCTGAAAATGGTCAACGAAGAGTTCGACCTGGTTTTCATGGATGTAATTTCACCACAGGGGCTCATAGTGAGGGATTATTTGGATANTATTCACCTCAGCAAATGTTAAGCTAAGTTAAAAAAATTGATGTGTTATCCCCAAATCCCAGCATTTTTGTTCCAAGTCTGTTTTACACAGGACCACTTCAAATCAGATATATCCTACTGGCATCGTTAACCGACAAACTTACACTTAGTCAAAGTGAATCTGAATGCTTATTGATGGAAAGTAGGACACTCTTCGGTCCAAAGTCAACAAATGTAAACAGATCCATCTGCTTCGATCCATCATGGAGTAACTACATAACCATGTGATTTGGTCTAAATTACAGAATGCCATTAACACGGGACTCAATAACACAAATTTAGGGTATCAAACACAAGTTTCCCTGCATAAATGGCATGGCATAATATATAACACTTTTTATAGGGAAGCTCTTCTGAATAGCATGCACCATGATGTAGCAAAATGATAAGCAATACAGAAATTGGTGTTGTATTCACACGTTTATCTGAGTGATATGAGTAACATAGTTGAAAGACTACTTCAGTCAGGTTTCATCTACGAAACTCCTACTTTATAATTATCTATAGCTTTTAATCATCACACACATATATATTATAAAGCATTTTAAAGTCATAATATTTCACTAGCTAACTGAATTTTTAATCACATATATATTATATAAAATTATTATGGAGTGTATTTAATTTCTCTTTCCAGATATCCCCCATAAACAAATATTTGACCCCACTTTGTTTCATGATCTCTGGCAAATCTAAATGCACTGAGGTTCATAAAATAATATGTATAAAATTGTAAGTATACAGTTAAGGTAAAATATTTACAAAACACATCTGATTCAATTTTCTGGATACACATCATCATACTTGTAATATACAATTTGCAGTAGAGGAGAAGCAAAAGGTTAATTTGGCGACTTGTGACAACATTTCTGGCACGTTATATATATAAAAAAAAATTAATTGACAGTCTTAACAAAAATGCTGTTGTCACCTTTCCTGGAATTTTAATGAGGATCATCTCAGATAGACTGAAACTAGGCTTTTGGCACTGCATGTCATTGTACATACAACCAGAAATCACGTGAACTTAAAAGCAATAAAGGCGAAACTTTTTCTGACCTCATTCTCCTACAAATCATGTTCAGTCTAGCTTGATCTTACGCAAAATTCAAAATCCTGTACTATCTTGGATGACCCCCATACAATTCTCAGTACTATCCATCTTGATACATTACTTTGAAAACATGCCTATCAGAAAATATACAAATATATGATATAATAGAAAATGAAATATATTATTCTGTTCTAGTGCATGGAGGGGGAGAATTTTTTCGTCAATCAACATTATTTTAATTATTTCATGCCATTGTGAAAATAAAACATTAGCCTCCAATACAAATGCTGCTAACCTTTCAACTTACTCTTACTGAAACTTGTCAGGTCAAATAACAGGACAGTTTAAGTCGAATCTTTTCTTATAGCCAAATGCTGACAAGTTATGCTCATCAACTTTCTCTCTCTCTCTCTCTCTCTCTCTCTCTCTATATATATATATATATAGATAGATAGATAGATAGACAAGGCAAGTTCCAGTAAAAATAAGTTGAAAGGATATTTGCATTTGATGAAATTGTAGAACCATAATGTCTAATGTTGTTAACAAGTTTGATTAATATTCCTGGTGTAGAAACATTCTATTCATGGCACATAAATATAACAGTACAAAATAATATGTATATGGGTTAAACTTTACAAAGCTTTAGGTTACAAAATATAATCCACTAAAACCACCACTGATAACAGAGTCAACACTTAAGCAAATTGTTTCACTGGACTTGTATATAGTTACATTGAAGAATATTCCTGATGAAACCCCCAACAGGATTAAAAGATATTCTATGAATATTCTTTAACAGACTCAGCACATGACTTGTATATGGACTTACATGTTACGACATAGTGGATGGCTCAGGCATTTGGTTATGGGTAAGAAATATAGTAACTGTTCAAATTTTTTGGGGGGAAGAGGTTCAATGGAGAAAAAAGTGAAAGAGATGTTGCGAAATTAGTCAGAAATGTGAACTCTTATTATTATACAAAACCAAGTAAAATATTTTTTCTGTACAGTCCACAGGGTAAAATATATAAATTTGAGATCAGAAATGTATTATCTAAAAGCCATCTCCAACTACTTTCAAACCAAGGCTCTATTAAAGAAAACAGATATATAGGAATGTCTTTAGAAAAGTATAAAATAAGAAGGATGGAGGTACTATAGATTGTGCCCATTGTTACATCATTTCTTGTCCTTTGCAGAACTTCTCATCATATTCTATTCACTCAAAACAAGAAAATAGGCCTAATTTACATCACCTGTTGGAAAGGGTAAGTGAGGAACCCCTTTTCAGACTTATTTTTAGTTTATAATAGTCTTCATTATCATGTGAATGCACTTTCATATGAGAATACACTAATTTAAGTAAGGGAAGAAACAAGATATGTGCTACCTTTGTTGTATCATTTTTTTATACACTTATCTTTAAAAAACTACTTTTAAATGAAAGCAGACTTGATATTCGATGATGCACGCTATAAAATGAAACATACATTTTTATACCAATAGAGATTTTGAAATTAAATGCGAAAAAAAGTTTAATCAATTGCACTGCACCTCTTGGATTGAAGCATTTTTAATTTTCATGATAGCACTGTGATTGGTTCAAATGAACCATGTGACCAATAAGTTGGGGAAAAAATGACATTTGTGATTGGTTTGTATGGGTCATGTGGTCAAAGAGCTATCACAGGCTCATATGTCATTCCCGCAGACGTCATGTAATACTATCATGTCCAAGACAACTTGCTTCTACTCCATTCCATTTTGATTCAAATATGTCTATCTATCAAATATGGCCACCAGAGAAAAAAAAATGAGGGCAAAGTGGGAAGCATTTACCAATGTATATTTGAGAGCTCCTTCACTTCTTTAGAAAACTGTCATCAATGTCATCAACACATCAATGGGAAAATACAGATACTTATATGCATGTGTAAATATGCTACAATAACACTATAAACTATTCAAAAATTATATTCTTTTTACTGTAAGCTGTCCATTGCCTGGCAGTTTATTCCTTTGCTGCAGTTCCAGTTTTTGAAGCAACATTCAGCAAACTAAATGACAACTCTTTTTTTAGTCCTGCAGTTATGAAAGCTCCATAAAGAAAATGCTCCTTCATGTCCTGCTGTTTAAAGCACCTTTACCCTTAACAACTTCTGGATCAAACATCACCCAAAAATTTTAAAGCAGTTCTTGTAGTTAAAAGCGACTGCAAAGATTGCACCTATGTGCATCTTGGCCACAGAAAAACTAAAACACACCACCAGCCCTTATTCCGATATGTACTTTCTCCCATACTAAACCTAACAAGGTCCCTACCTCTTTTGAGGAATATGAAGAACAGACACTTGCTATGCTGTCCTTTCTACTGCCTTTCAAATTCCTGTTGATATTTTAAGGAATTTTCATTCATGTTCTATTCCCACTATTCTTTCTGACAATCTAAACAGTGGTGGTTGTCTGCTCTTCATTCCTCTTCAGGCTCAGTCCATGTGCCCAAGTGGACAATGGCTGACCATTGTTGCCATGGTTAAGACTTTCGCTTGATCCAATCCGTCCTTTAATGTCCATTAAAATGTCAGGCTGGGACTCCACAATGCTGCCCATTACTTTGTACAGAAAGTGGTAGTCATCCTAGAATTTATGGCTTACAATTAGGATTTTTAGAAACAGATTTTGCACAATTTCAAATAATAATAATAATAATAATAATAATAATAATAATAATAACTGTTTATTTAATTCTAATTCACTACCAAATTTGGTCACATATCTATGTTACTTTTTTGCTTCCTGCAAAAACTAGAGGATCAGAGAGGCGATACCGCCTCCAAATATTGTACCACCAGCTGGAGCAAACGCATTCGTATAGACCCCCACATACACAAAATAAGGGACACAGCCGCCAGTTTTGTGCTTGACAAGCTGTAAAAATGCAATCAACAAGAATTTTTAAACTATTGCAAAAAATATATATGGTACAATCAAATTTAAGTTCTTCGTAAGGTAGGTCAAGGGTCAATTTCAAGGTCACAGTAAATTGCCAGTATATGACTTCCTATTCAAGTTCAAGAGTAACTATGGACCTATCTCTGTCAAGTTTGAAGTTAAAAGAGAAAGAAATTAGCAGAGTTCAGTTCATGATAAAAAGTAGGTCAAAGGTCAATTTCAAGGTCACACTTAGATTGCCAGTATAGGACTT